AGACAGACAGACAGACAGACAGACAGACAGACAGACAGACAGACAGACAGACAGATAGATAGATAGATAGATAGATAGATAGATAGATAGATAGATAGATAGATAGATAGATAGATAGATAGATAGATAGATACAATCCACATTGATCTGATCACTGTTTTTTTACTTTAACCCTCAGATGACCACAGCCGGGTGCGGCTCTCGTCTCAGGCTGATAAAGATGGGAAGATGAGAGATTACATCAATGCAAACTACGTGGATGTAAGGAACTTGAATCTGTTTTTAAGTTTCATTTCAAATCTTCATACAAACTGAGGCCTTCATCTTAAACCCGAGGCTCATTTCTGAGTATTGAATCTATCGAACACTCAGTCCAAACTTATTTTTATTTTATTTTTATTCTTCACGGTTTCCCTCCTGTCTTCCTAAACCAAAGTCTGCCTATTTCTAAACCTATTCATGAGGCATGCTGTTGTTAGCAAGAACCTGGGTAGCTCTCCATTATGCCTGTCACTGCACCATTAAAATCTAATTTCCAGCATCTTGTTGTTTTGTGAAAGGCAGTGGTGACACAAAAAAACCCTGCGGCAGTCACGGCCTCTCTGGAGAGCCGACGTACAGGTTATAAAGTTGGTAAAAGCGCGTTGAGGATCTCTCCAGCTCACACTTTTCTCTGTCTCACAGTACAAAGGCAACTTCACGCTGTCAGTCATGTGAAGGTTATCAAACTATTAAAGAGAGTCATTGAATGCTGTCCTCTGTTGAGAACTTGTGACACCTACTTTCCTCTGCTGGCCTTAACTAAACCGACTCGTTGCATTTCAGCTTGCTCTTAACATTTGAGTTAAAAATTTTATTATCCTTGATGAGTTTTATTTTTATTTTTCAAATGTGAGAGCCTTCACAGCAGACTCCCAGTCTTTTCTGGCCCATAACCTCCTAATTCACTCCTGAAATTGTCATGAAATAAAACAGTTGTCAGATTGTGAATTCGCATGTAGTCGTAAAAGGTCATCTTAAGAACAAATATAGTTTTTACTTTAATTTTTACAGTTTTAAAACTTAATCAAACTCTCAAATTTTAGCAACTGAGTAAAGTAAAGTAAGTTTAAAGCTGCATTACATAATATTAAGTGGCTAATATGATAGCAAACAGCAGCCTTCTTCATTGGTGTCTTGTTTGTTTCCACATGAATCCAATGTTCACTCAGTCTCGTAGCTCTGGTTTAGTCTCCACCAACTCCTGAGAAAAACATCTGGCTCTGTCACTGCTACATGTGAGTTTTGATGGACAGGGAGTGAGGGAATTGAGAATCCATTAGTTTCTGGAGCTTGAACAGTGCCTTACTATGCTATGACGTTTTTATGCCTTACTATACTAAGAACATTTTATGCCTTACTATACTAAGACCTTTTTATGCCTTACTATACAATGACGTTTTCATGCCTTGTTATACTATGATGTTTTTAAACATTTTTATGCCTTACTATACTATGACGTTTTGTGAAATTTTTTACCTTACTATACTATGACATTTTTCGACGTTTTTGTGCCTCACTATACTATCACGTTTTATGCCTTACTATTACATGACATTTTTATGCCTTGTTATACTTGCCTTACTATACTATGACATTTTTTGACATTTTTATGCCTTACTATACTATGACGTTTTTTGACGTTTTTATGCCTTACTATACTATGACGTTTTTTGACGTTTTTATGCCTTACTATACTATGACGTTTTTTGACGTTTTTATGCCTTACTATACTATGACGTTTTTTGACGTTTTTATGCCTTACTATACTATGACGTTTTTTGACGTTTTTATGCCTTACTATACTATGACGTTTTTTGACGTTTTTATGCCTTACTATACTATGACGTTTTTTGACGTTTTTATGCCTTACTATACTATGACGTTTTTTGACGTTTTTATGCCTTACTATACTATGACGTTTTTTGACGTTTTTATGCCTTACTATACTATGACGTTTTTTGACGTTTTTATGCCTTACTATACTATGACGTTTTTTGACGTTTTTATGCCTTACTATACTATGACGTTTTTTGACGTTTTTATGCCTTACTATACTATGACGTTTTTTGACGTTTTTATGCCTTACTATACTATGACGTTTTTTGACGTTTTTATGCCTTACTATACTATGACGTTTTTTGACGTTTTTATGCCTTACTATACTATGACGTTTTTTGACGTTTTTATGCCTTACTATACTATGACGTTTTTTGACGTTTTTATGCCTTACTATACTATGACGTTTTTTGACGTTTTTATGCCTTACTATACTATGACGTTTTTTGACGTTTTTATGCCTTACTATACTATGACGTTTTTTGACGTTTTTATGCCTTACTATACTATGACGTTTTTTGACGTTTTTATGCCTTACTATACTATGACGTTTTTTGACGTTTTTATGCCTTACTATACTATGACGTTTTTTGACGTTTTTATGCCTTACTATACTATGACGTTTTTTGACGTTTTTATGCCTTACTATACTATGACGTTTTTTGACGTTTTTATGCCTTACTATACTATGACGTTTTTTGACGTTTTTATGCCTTACTATACTATGACGTTTTTTGACGTTTTTATGCCTTACTATACTATGACGTTTTTTGACGTTTTTATGCCTTACTATACTATGACGTTTTTTGACGTTTTTATGCCTTACTATACTATGACGTTTTTTGACGTTTTTATGCCTTACTATACTATGACGTTTTTTGACGTTTTTATGCCTTACTATACTATGACGTTTTTTGACATTTTTATGCCTTACTATACTATGATGTTTTTCAACATTTTTATGTCTTATTATACTATGACGTTTTTATGCCTTGTTATACTTGCCTTATTATACTATGACATTTTTTGACGTTTTTATGCCTTACTATACTATGACATTTTTTGACATTTTTATGCCTTACTATACTATGACGTTTTTATGCCTTGTTATACGTGTCCTACTATACTGACATTTTTTGACATTTTTATGCCTTACTATACTATGACGTTTTTATGCCTTGTTATACTTGCCTTACTATACTATGACGTTTTTCAACATTTTTATTCCTTACTATACTATGACGTTTTTTGACATTTTTATGCCTTACTATACTATGACGTTTTTATGCCTTGTTATTCTTGCCTTACTATACTATGACATTTTTTGACATTTTTATGCCTTACTGTACGATGACGTTTTTTGACATTTTTCATGCCTTACTATACTATGATGTTTTTCAACATTTTTATGCCTTACTATACTATGATGTTTTTCAACATTTTTATGCCTTACTATACTATGATGTTTTTATGCCTTGTTATACTTGCCTTACTGTACTATGACGTTTTTTGACATTTTTATGCCTTACTATACTATGATGTTTTTTGACATTTTTATGCCTTACTATACTAGGACGTTTTTATGCCTTGTTATACTTTCCTTACTATACTATGACGTTTTTCAAGATTTTTATGCCTTACTATACTATGACGTTTTTATGCCTTGTTATACTTGCCTTACTATACTATGACATTTTTTGATGTTTTTATGCCTTATTATACTATGACGTTTTCAACATTTTCATGCCTTACTATACTATGATGCTTTTCATGCCTTACTATACTATGACGTTTTCATGCCTTGTTATACTTTCCTTACTATACTATGACGTTTTTCAAGATTTTTATGCCTTACTATACTATGATGCTTTTCATGCCTTACTATACTATGACGTTTTCATGCCTTGTTATACTTTCCTTACTATACTATGACGTTTTTCAAGATTTTTATGCCTTACTATACTATGATGCTTTTCATGCCTTACTATACTATGACGTTTTCATGCCTTGTTATACTTTCCTTACTATACTATGACGTTTTTCAAGATTTTTATGCCTTACTATACTATGATGCTTTTCATGCCTTACTATACTATGACGTTTTCATGCCTTGTTATACTTTCCTTACTATACTATGACGTTTTTCAAGATTTTTATGCCTTACTATACTATGATGCTTTTCATGCCTTACTATACTATGACGTTTTCATGCCTTGTTATACTTTCCTTACTATACTATGACGTTTTTCAAGATTTTTATGCCTTACTATACTATGATGCTTTTCATGCCTTACTATACTATGACGTTTTCATGCCTTGTTATACTTTCCTTACTATACTATGACGTTTTTCAAGATTTTTATGCCTTACTATACTATGATGCTTTTCATGCCTTACTATACTATGACGTTTTCATGCCTTGTTATACTTTCCTTACTATACTATGACGTTTTTCAAGATTTTTATGCCTTACTATACTATGATGCTTTTCATGCCTTACTATACTATGACGTTTTCATGCCTTGTTATACTTTCCTTACTATACTATGACGCTTTTCAACATTTTTATGCCTTACTATATTATGATGTTTTTTGACAATTTTTGCCTTACGATACTATGATGTTTTTCAACATTTTTATGCCTTACTATACTATGATGCTTTTCAACATTTTTATGCCTTACTATATTATGATGTTTTTTGACAATTTTTGCCTTACGATACTATGATGTTTTTCAACATTTTTATGCCTTACTATACTATGACATTTTTTGACGTTTTTATGCCTTACTATACTATGATATTTTTTGACGTTTTTATGCCTTACTATACTATGACGTTTTTCAACATTTTTATGCCTTACTTTAGTATGACGTTTTTATGCCTTGTTATACTTGCCTTACTATACTATGACATTTTTTGACATTTTTATGCCTTACTATACTATGACGTTTTTTGACATTTTTATGCCTTACTATACTATGACGTTTTTATGCCTTGTTATACTTTCCTTACTATACTATGACGTTTTTTGACATTTTTATGCCTTCCTATACTATGACGTTTTTTGACATTTTTCATGCCTTAGTATACTATGACGTTTTTCAACATTTTTATGCTTTACAATACTATGACATTTTTTGACGTTTTTATGCCTTACTATACTTTGACGTTTTTATGCCTTCTTATACTTGCCTTACTATACTATGACATTTTTTGA